TAGTCCTCAACCTGCAGTATCCACATGCCTCCCAAAAAAGGAGGGGGAAAAAGTGGGATATATACAGATACACATATGAGCATGGGAAAGCAAGGCAACAGAAGATCCCCAAGTTCACCCAACTCTCCCAGGGCAGAGGAAGGGCTCACAAAGGGAGAAGACAACAAATACCAGGTAGCAGAAGTCTATGAAAAGCTCATAGAAGGAATGAAGAAAACAGATGAGTTCAAAGAGGCAATAAACCAAAAGTTCACAGCAATTTCACTCAATATGCATATGGTGGTTTTCAGGGAAATAGGCAAAAAATAGGACGAGCTAATCAAAACTGTTCAAAATTTGACAGATTCAAAAGGATATGGAATCTTTGGAAAAATGTCAGACAGAAATGTCTAAAACGAAAAATTATAAAATTCATAAATTGCAGAAATGACCAATATGAAGACAGAGTATCTGATACTGAGGACAAAAAAGTGAATTATGATGAAGAGCTCCAAGAAGATAGGAATTATATGTACACTGCTGCCATGGAACTGGGCTCTCTGAGTTTAATGGACATATTAAGATTCTCGACAGCAAGAGAGATGTAAGGCATTAAATCTCAAGGACAATGTGGACATGGTTACTGAAATAAATAGGAGAGTTAAAGCAGTAATCAGAAGATTCCGATCTGCAGAGATTTTTGCAGTTAGTTAGTTTGGCCATTTTGTCCTTAAAGTTGAAATAGATGGGCAGCTTTACTAATGTCTTACTTGATCTGTTGAAGTAGAAAGCTCTACATTGACTTGAATCACTGAGTGTCTTGTCCTGTCAAACAATTTTCAAACTTGCCAGTTCAAAACTGCAGAGCCCCTTGAGTGAAGGAAGGAGGGACAGCAGACTTTGAAGAAGGATCCTTTTATACATCCACACATATTATCTCCTGGCCTTTCCCCCAAGAGGCATGTGAATTTAGCAGGGTGCTATACAATGGGGAAGGAGAAATCTAGAAACTCATGATTACTAGCTGTTGTTGCTGAACTGACAAATTCCTGGAGACAGAAAATTCCTCTGTGGCTCCTCAACCAGAGGAGGCATTTCTTTTGGCCAAGTCATCAATGGAATTTTGGCTTGGGCTGTCTCATAGTGGGTCCAGGGTTTCCATAATCCCACCCTTAAAGTCTTGGTTTTTGGAATCCATCATTGGTATAGATAAATTGAACAATAGGAAAAAGAATTTCTACATTGGTTCTCTGATTAGTGAAGAGAGGATTATTGTAGTATAAAAAGGATATGGCATTTGATAAAATATAACGAGTAAAGGAAGGGTAGAATAAATGGTCGTGTTTTCCTTTTGTTCATCTTTTTTTTCAGTATGAGTTCTTCCAAAGGTTCAAAGACTTATTTTTCTTTATTACTGCTCTGAAGTCATGAATTTTTGATATATTCGACATCTGTCAATTTACTGAAAATATTTTGATGTTCAAATTGTTCTCAAATGGGCTAGCAGAATCATCCTCAAATTGGTTTGTGGATTCTTTTAACATGATGGCAGCAATCTTGATAACTAGTCCTTATTTTGACAAAGTGTTTTTTAGGCTCATCTTGTACTTTCTTGTCCTAAATCTATAACCAGTAATTTTTCCAAGGAATACTGACTTCATTGCAGCTGAATACTGGTCACTGATTTTACTGTCCACTGAAAGGACAGAGCTAGGAAGTACATTTAAAGAGTAAAGCATATTATGAGTTCATATGCTAATATTTTCTAATTACAATTTAGAATTAAACTTAATTTCTTCCCATTTATAAAGAAAATCTTGGTTCTTAAAGACATTTGTATAAATGAATCAACTGGTTCATCCTATAATTATACATTTCAGAACAACATCAATATAGCTTACCATATGATTATGACAAACAATTTGTGGATTTTTTTTGTATTTCTTAGGATTTATCTCACTAGGACTATACAGTGTAATTACTGTGCATAATTTCACTTGAAATAACTCACCTGTGTAGTCAAGTAATCAACTTCCTAAATAAGTTAATTTTTAAAATTTTACTTTTGATTTTTAGGTATTGGTTTTTGCATTTTGCTTTAATTTGAAAAATAATTATATAAATAGTTATACAGTTTTAAAGTCAAGCCAATCTATAAAACAAGGTTCATTCAAAGCTTTCATCCTGTCCCCTCTTTCCTCTCACAGATTACTATTTTTTAAAAATTATTTTTGGTTCACGTCTCCATATCTAAAGATAGAAATATGTATGTGTTCATATGAATGTTTGTGTATACTGAATACGTTTGTAGATAAATGAATATATGCACACACACACTCTTCCCTTTTAGATAAAGGGTAGAATACCATATGTAGTGTTATACTACTTGTTTTGTTCACTTAAGATATTGCTGTATCTATTTAGATGCAGATTTGGATTGCTATGAATCTATAGATAGTTGGGTGGGGGACTGACATAACTACAATATGAAATATTTTAATTGATTCACATAGTCTTTGCCTCTATTTACCTAGGTCTTCTTTGTTTTTTTTTTTGGTACCGGGGATCGAACTTGGGTCCTTACACTTGCAAGGCAGATGGTGGAACCACTGAGCTAAATCCCCGGCCCCTACTTAGGTCTTCTTTAATTGCCCTTAATATTATTTATAGTCTTCACATAGAAATTTTACACATTTGTTAGATTTATTCTAGATATTTAATGTTTTTTAATGTAATTGTAAATTTAACTAGTTTTAAACTTTTATTTTTTAAATATTTGATGTTGGTATGTAGATGGTTGATTTTTATATATTCATCTAATAATTTGTTTACCAATTATTTGGGACTTTTTATATATATAACATGTTGTCTGTGAAGGATGATTGTTTCTTTCTTCCTTTGTCAATCTTTTGATTCTTTTTTCTTGTCATACAATACTGACTAGAACTTCCAGTGCAAAGAAGAACAGAGGTGGTAATAGTGGACTTTCAGATTTTCTTTTCTTTCTTTTTTTTTTTCCAGTACTGGGAATTGAACTCTGGACCTTGCGCTTGCAAGGTAGGTGCGACGCCACCGAGCTAAATCCTCAGTCCCTTGTGATCTTAAAAGAAATGTTATCAATATTTTTTGTCATTAAGAATCATGTTTGCTGTAGAATAGCTACCTTTACAAACTTAAAAAGATTCAATTCCTAGTTTGCCAAGATTTTAAGAAAAAGGCTGTGAGTGGATACTAAATTTTGTCAAATGCTTTTTCTGTATCTATTCAAATCTTATGATTTTTCTCTTTCAATAACAATATAGTAAATATATCAGCTGATTTTCTAATCTTATACCAACTTTGCATTCTTCAGAGAGAGCTGAAAGTAATGATGTTTTTGCTAGTTCTTTTAATGCTCTCAGTAGATTTTTTAAAAGAAAATTATCTAACATGGGCTGGGGATCCAGCTCAGTGGTGCTGCTGCCTGCTTCACAAGTGGACGGTCCTGAGTTCGATCCCTGGTACCAAAAAAAAAAAAGAAAACTAACATCTGACTTTTTATAGTCATGGTGAGGAACTGGTTCAAATAGCCTAGATCACTATTAATTGCGAGCAGAAATTCTTTCTCAGTCTAAATAAATTTCAGTTTAGCATTCTGAACCCAAAACTCATCTTGTCATGGTGCTGAGGTAAAAGGTTCACTTTCAGATCTCACATGGATCAATTAGTAGATTTTTATAAAACATAATGGTTAAGAACATACTGTCCTTGCCCAATTGAATTTAAGTAAGTTCCTTAACCTGTCTCGGTCTCTGTTTCACTTTGTATAAAGCATGGCTATGTTACATACTATGCTACGTACTGTGAAGATTAAGTATATGTAAGTTGCTTAGAACAATGTACACAGCACGTGTTCAGTAAATATCACCCATCACTGCTTATTTCCTTTCTGCACAAGTATTTTCAGAAAAAAGTTTTTAAAAAGCATTTTGCTTTGATTCCTATTTCTCTGGATAATCTTTGTTAGTGTCTCAGTAGAATCTTAATATCCTTAAAGTTTACATTCTGCTAGTTGATCCTCAGACAGTTTCATTTCTCTATATATTCTTTTCCAGCATATTCTCATTCCATGTCTTTAAAAATCATGTGTATGGCAATGATTGCCACTTTCATAGCTCCTGTTGCAGTCTGTCCCTGGAATGCTAAACTTATACATACAACTGACTGACTTTATAGCCTGGTTTTTAAGTACCGTCTGAGCAGTCACACTTAACATGGCCCATAGCAAACTTTTTTTGATTATTTCCAATCTTTTAAAACCTAGTCCTAAGCACCACGATTTTATACTTAGACCCTTACAGCACCTTTGTATCTTTACAGCCTGTGTATTTTTAAAATATACTTCATTTTTAGAGCAATTTTAGGTTAAATTTATTCTTCATACAGCAGTCAAAGTCATCTGTTGATAATTTAAGTCTGATCACTTCACTTTGCTCAGAGCCTTCCAATCTCATTCCTAGTTGAAGCTCTAGAGCTTCCTATTGCATTTGGCACAAAATCTCAAGTTTGTTCTATGGAAGGGTTAGAAAACTTTTTTCTTTTCTTTTTCTTTTTGGTACCAGAGATCAAACTCGGGTCCTTACGCTTGCAGGGCAGGCAGGCCGTGGAACCACTGAGCTAAATCCCTGGCCCAGAAAACCTTTTTCTTATAGGGTCAGAGAGCAAACATTTTAGACTTTGCAGGTCAAATGGATTCTGTAACTACAGAATATTATACAGGTTACATCTTATGTAGTAAGATTATAAACTGTCAAGTACAACAAAAATCATAGAACTTTGTGGAATATACATGAAATTTATGAAAATATACAATATTTATTCTGATTTACAATGCTTAATATTTTTACAGTAGGACAATAAATATTTGCTGAATAAAAAAATCTAAGTAGAAGGTACAGAATTACAAAAAGATTATGGCAAAAACATAAACTATAGTTTTAATTTATTCTTTAAAACATGTCAGTTATTAATAGTGGACTTACTTTAGGTTGCTGATTCTAATTTCTGCACTTTCAGTGAGTTTCTTTGTTTCTTCTTTCCACCTATTGGCCGCCTTCTGTTGAGTTGCTAAGAGATGCCTCAGTTCAATAGTAGAACTTCGATTACTGTCTTCCATCTCTCTTAATTGAACTTCAAACCCATGTTCCTTTATTGAAAATTCATGTTCCATTGTACTGATCTAAAGAATAAAATACACACACTAAGTTTTCCCTATTATTCTAAGACCTATAGTGATCAATGTAGTATATGAAAAAGATTATTCATTATGTTGTCCGAGTTTTAGAAATGCTTTTCTGAGAAATTTAAGAAATTGCTTTTATAATGTGTCTTAATCACAAATAAAGGCATCCTATATTATAATTTGAGTTAAATTAGACTTATGATGGACCATACTTTTTTGCAACCCTTTCCCCAACACCTTAAAATGCCAGTATTTAAAAAGTATATAACCTAGAACCAATTTTCTTTATTTCTAAACTTTTTTTTTTGCTGCCTGGGATCGAACTCGGGATCTTGCGCTTGCGAGGCAGGCAGCAGAACCACTGAACTAAATCCTCGGCCCAACCATTTTCTTTATTTAATTTTACTTTTGCTGGTAGAATCCACAAAAAATGTTCATGCTCTTAGTAACTGAATGCTAGGTTTTTATTCAAATAATTTTTTATTTATATACTGTTTTTTTCAAAGAGCTTTGTGAAGTAAAAGAAAATTATATCCTGGAATTTCTTCACCAATTCAGTTGTAGAATTAATAAACAATGTATATTTTTTCAGGAAAAAAACCACATGGGAATCTCACATGGGAATATCTTCATGATGTTCCTAGGAATTTGTATTATTGTACTAGTAACACCTTAATGAACAATGAACATACAGTCTGAAAGCTTTCTCAGTTGGAGTTGAGGGAGAGATTTAAACTCTAATTCTTTAAGGCATCTTATCTATATAATGAATTACCTTTTCTTGTCTGCATCTAAAATGGAACTACTATGTACCAGTCCTGGAGAACCTGAGAAAATAGTCAATGGAATAATTTTCCATGTTCTGTGGTTAAGAAGAAAACCTTGGTGGCTCTCAGGTATTTGTTATATTTATTAAAATCACATACCATTACTTCTTTTTTTTTTTTGGTACCAGGGATCAAACTTAGGGCCCTGTGCTTCCAAGGCAGGCAGTGGCACCACTGATCTAAAAATCCCTTGCCCTAACCCTTACTTCTTTTAAAAGTTACAAAAATAGTTTTAAATATTTTATATGATAATATATTAATATTGCCATTTGTAATTTCTTCCATTTTTCTTTTGTTAAAAAGTTCTTAATCAATTCAACATTCACCTACATTTCCTACCAATGTTTCAGAGTATCACTAAATTGTTAAATCCATACATTTTATATAAATTTTATGATGAATATATAGTATTTCCTCCCTAAAGTACACTGGCTTATTTTTTTAAATTTCAGAAATGTTTTAGTATGGGAACTTTTAAGTATACATAAAGTATGTTATAATGAATTCCTGTTTGCCCATCACCCAGCTTCTATAACCACAACTATAGAACTCACAACCACCTTTGTTTTACCTATGTTCCTACCTACTCTCCTCTCTTAAGACTTATCTTTTACTTACAATGCAGTATGTACGTTTTAAGGGCATGATTCAGTTTTTACCCATATACTGACACAACAAAGTCATCTCGGATTCAGATATCCCAGGAGGCTCCCTCATGTGCCCTTATCAATGTGTGCCCATCTAAAAAGGTCACCACTATTCTAAGACCCCATCCTTACACAGGTAACTGGTCCTATTCTTCACTTTCAGGTACCAAAGTAATAAAACATAAGCTTTTAAATTTCTGGCTTCTCTGTTTAACAGCATATCTACAAAACCTATCCCCTATTGCTTATAAGCATAGTTCATTGTCATTGCTGCATCTAGTCCATTACATGACTATATCACAGTTTCATTATATGATCTCATGTTGATGGACATTTGAGTTCAGTGTTTTGATTTGATTAAAATTTTTTATGAACATTCATATACATGTTTTGATGAGCGTAAGCATTTGTACTGGTTGCATGTAAAGACAGGATTATTTGACATAGGATATATGTCTGCTTATCCTTAAGACAGTTAAATGACAGTTGTTTTATTCACATTTCCAGTACTGTAAGAAAGTTCTCATTACTTTATATACTTATTAATACTTAATATTGTCAGTTTTTAAAATTTTAGCCATTATGGTAGGCCTGTAGTGTTACCTCATTGTAGTTTGAATTTACATTTGTCTCAATAATTATTAATTTAAATATATTTGCATATATTCTCTTTTGAAATAACTGTTAAGTCTTTTGGCCCATTTTTGGAAATGGATCATCTGCTTTTGCTTATCGTTAGCTGTTTTTTCCTTACTAATAATTTTTATTAACTGGTAAGAATTTTTATATTGTGGATATGAGAGTTTCTTTTTTTTCTCACACTTGTCATTATCTTTTTTTTTTTTTTTTGGTATCGGGGATCCAACTCAGGACCTCGTGCTTGTGAGGCAGGCATTAGCACCACTGAGCTAAATCCCAGCCCGATGCTTGTCATTATCTTAATGTGTCTTTGATGAATAAAAAATAATAATTTTAATGAAATCTAATTCATTCCTCTTTACATTATGATTAGTGCTTTTCTGGGGATTTAGCTCAGTGGTACCATGCCTGGCACTTTAGATAGAGTGAATGAGTTCATTCTGTACTCACTTTTATACCATTGATCAACCTATTATATGATGTTGAAAACACACTGTCTTAATTACTGTGGCTTTGTATCAAGTATGGTTCTTTTCCTTGTTCTTTAAAGACTTCCCACAGCAGAAAACATAATACACAAACTTCTTTGTATGATAGATCAGTCTCTCTTTTTTCATTTTTTTTCAGAGTTCATGTTTTTATAAATACCTAGAGTGCCTGATGCTTGCAATAGGAGGCATTCATTAAATATATGTTGATACGAATTAGGTTGGAATGTGACTTGAGTCATTGCAGCAGGAAAAAAAGGAAACCACTACTACTACTGTCTTGTATCCTTGGAAGATGTCACAAAGAATTTCTTCCACGTTTTACAGAAGTTTCATGGAATGGAGAAAGGTAAATGAGATGATGATGTGCTTTCTGAAAATCCTTTAACCAGGTTATTATTTAGTAACCAGGTTACTAATGCATGTAAGCACAGAATAAAAGGGAGACAAAAGTCAGGAAAGTTTTATTTTTACATGAGACTTTTGCCCCTTGCCTTCTTGCTGGCACGGAGGTTTTAGACTAGTATGAGTGGTTCTCAAAGCACACTGACATATCACACTCTTACAGTCAGTTTTAGAGAAGTTCAATTTTTGAGAGGCTATAATAAAGGGGGAAGAGAACAAGGTAGTCTGTAAAGTTATCTAATCTATGGCTTTGCTAGTGCTGCTTAAATTGCTTTGGCAGGAATATCAGCATATTTCATGGTTGGAAAAGAATTTTTTTGTGTGTGTGCAGATAGTGAAGGCAATCATTTTCAAGTATGCTTGCCAAGTTTTACAATGACTGGTTAACACACTAAATTATGATTTAGGGCTATCTGATGAGAAGGGGAAAAAAATGGCCTGAAAATGTTTTACTAGGTCTCTCTATACTTTTTTCTCTACTCTCCATACTCTGATTTTCTCAAAACCACATCTAACTCTAATGAGTCTTGAAAATACCTTTAATTTAGCTTTTCTTTCAGCCTCTAGAGCAATATCTCTTAAATGCTCAGTTTCCTTGTGTAACTGTTCATTTTCTTGCTGAAGTTTAAGCCTTTGTTCACTGACAAAGACACAGTTCTCTCTTTCCGACTCCAACACATTTTGAAGTTTCTTAATCATTTCATGGGAACATGATATTTCTTCTGAGGAACTGTTAAAAAAAAACAGAAACAAAAAAGAAGCTTTAAACTTAATAATCTATAGTAGAAATTGAGATGTCTGTCTACATTTTACAGCTTATGTGGTTTCAAAACATTATGTAATACCAGGAAAATACATTTAATTTACCAATCTTAACTAAGAATAGATAAATTGAACTCACTCATCTAGAAAATCAATATGAAACTGCTTTCAAATTTTTACTAACATGGAGAATCATTGTGGAAGGATATTTCAAAGGAACAAACTAATGGCAAAGTAAAAATGATGAAGTAGGGAGGTAACCAAAACTCCTCCATCAATCAGCTCCAGAGGAAAACACAATAGCTGACTATATTACTAAATTATAACAATAAATTCTATTTTCATATATGTCTTAGAAATAGTCTTTATAAATTCTAGTTCAGTTAGGGATGGTGGTGAAGTTTAAATTAAAAATGTTTAGAGTAAAATATACATTGTTATTAATCCTCTTCAAAATCCCTCCTTTGTTTTAAACAAACTTATTCCAGTTCCTGTCACTTTCTGAAACAGTTCTATAAAAGCAATTCTTTAGTGAATGTCTTTAGTTGTGCTGTTGTGGTGGCCTTGATATTCTGAATCAATTCAAATTGTTTACGTTTCTTGACTTTGGGAAAGATCCAGAAGTCTCATGGTGCCAGATCTCGTAAATAAGGTGGATGAGGACACACCATAATGTTTTTATAAGCCTGCCTTTCCACTGGATGGCACCATATTTTTGATTATACCTTGTAAAGACTCTCAGAAAGAGGACTTTCTGGACAGCTTCAGAAAATAGCAAGAATGAAGGGATAAGTGTATTCGAAGTAAGGGGGAGTATTTTGAGAGGGATTAATGGCTATATGTATTCAACTGTAATAATTCTTTTCTTTAAATTGGAACATTCACCATATATTTTGATCATACACTGTACAAACATGTTTCACATGGTTGTAGTTTTACCACCATGTATCATATCTTTAAGGTCTACTTAGAGAGTACAGCTTGTCCATATCTGCCAGTGCTTCAGGTGGACACAGAGACTTTCTCTGACATCTACCTCTGCCATTCTAGATTGCTGTTTTCCCAGCTCCTCCTATATTTTATAAATTTTAACTCCTACATTAAATTCTTTATTCTCATACAGCTGGCAGCTCTTTTTTCCTATCTAAACCTTGGCTGATAAAGTTTCTAATGAATGATGTACCTAGGCAATGGCAATTTACATCAAGATGCTATAACCAGAAATAATCACACATTATGGGCCTCCTAACAGAAGTCCACAATATCATCATCTATGAAATATTCTTACAAAAAAAAATAAAAGCAAGACTAGATCAAGCCTCTTGGTCTACTTACTAGTTTTTAGAAATTACATGGGTCAGAGAAACAAAGTAAATCACAGCATACATATGTGTGTAATAAAGGAAACTTTACAGTACAAAATAACTGCCTTTTCAATAAATTATTTGAAGACCAGAAAAAAAAAAGAATACTGAGACTAAATGAGACTTAAGAAACATCACTCCTAGTATTCCTAAAGTCAGAAGTGGACAGGAGAACTCACAGACACTCAAGAGAAACCCTTCGAAGTAAGTGACTGTAACAAAACATTTATGAAGTGTACCTTAAAGCGCATGTGAAAACTTACACTGCAAGAAACCATATGTACATGGAGAATATGGGAAAGCCTTCATTGCTTTCTCACATCTTACTGAACATGTAAGAACTTGTACTGGAGACAAGTACACTGCTTGTAGAGAATGTGTGAAAGCATTTAGCAATTCCCATTTCCTTATAAAAGGAAAAGAACTCCCCAAGAAGAGCCTGTAAATATACAGATGGCCTATCTTCACCCTTCACTGAGCACTTAAAATTTATCCTGGAGAGAAGCTTCCTGCATGTAAGGAACATGGGAAAGCTTTTCACTTAGTCCTCACACCTTATTCGATATATAAAAGTACATGCTGAGAAAAATTCTTATACATGTGAGGATTGCGAGAACATGTGAGAACATTTCAGATCATCCTCATACCTTACATAAGAATCTACCCTGGAGATAACCTATATGGAAGAAAAATGGAAAAGTAGTATGTAAGCTCTCACACGGAAAAGAAGCATTATGATGTAATGAATGTAGGAAAGGCTTTAGAAAGTTTGCATTACCTAATGTGTGCATCGGAGAAAAGCCCTACGAAGGTCAAGAATGCAGAAAAGACTTTATATGTTTAATGTATCTTAACAAATACGAATAAACTCATAGCAGAGGAAAGCCCTACTAGGTATACAAGGAACTTAGAAAAGCTACAGTTGGCACTCAAAACTTAATATTTACATACTCACATTGGCAAAAACTATGTATTCTATGAATTTAAGGACTGTAGAATAGACTTCAGCTATTACTCCCCTTGTAGCAAAATCATGGGAATCCAAACTGAAGTAAAACATTATTAATGTAAGGAAGTAGTATGACCTCAGATTATTGCTTTTCACTTTGGAAACAAGTAAGAATACATAAGGGAGAAAGGCTACATTAATATGAAGAATGTGGGAAAAACCTTTATTTTTTTCCTTATATTTTAAAATTCATGAATGTACTTACAGCAGAGTAATACCTTATAAATGTAGAAAATGTGGAAAAGTATTAATTGCCTTCCTATCCCTGAGGAAAAATGTGAATATACAACTATAAAGAACTCTTATGAATACAAGGAATGTGGGAAAGCCTTCAGTTTTCCCTGGATAGTTAAGAAACATATGCAAACTCACAGTGGAGAGAAACATTATGAATAAAGAAAATAGGAAGTTTTCTGTGCCTGTATCCTTCAGGAAATATGTTAAAATTCACCCTGGAGAAAACCTTTTTATGAATATAAGGAACAAAAAGAAGAGTTCACTGACTTCTCTTTTATAGCACACAGGAAAACTCATACTGCAGAGAGACCTTGTGAATTGAAACAAATGTGGGATACTTTTATTCAATCTTCTTCCCTCACAAGACACATGGGATATGGATATTGCAGAGAAATCCTATGATACATGGTATAAAAGTTTTCATGCATGACCCTTTGCTTACTACACATAAGAATAGTCATATTGGATTAAAGTGGTTTCTCCTGCTTGCTTTAGAAGTAATAATATAAGCACATTATCTGGGTAGATAACTGAAAATTACACATATATTTATGAAACAAATCTGCAGAATCTCCTTTTGGAAACATTTATTAATTAACTTAAGTATCAAGTATTATGCAGTTTAAAGAAACATTGAGGGAGGGAGAAAGGTAAAAAACCCTTTTATAATGGATCCATTCTATCATAAATTTATCATTTAAATAATTTAATAAATAAACATGATTGATCAATACAGAATATCTAATAACACAAAAATAATATGAAGTACATATGGTATAAAAGCAATGCTTAGAAATAAGCTAATATAACAGCTACATAATATGAATGAACATTATATTTAATTGCTAGAAATGGTAAATTTAAAATAAAATGGTATACTGTTAAATCTTCTTCCTGAAGAAATTAGTTTTCAGAAATAATCTAGCCAGGGATTTAGCTCAGTGGTTCCACTGCCTGCCTCGCAAGCGCAAGGTCCCGAGTTCGATCTCTGGTACCAAAAAAAAGAAATAATCTTAAAAAATTGGTCCTTTTAAAATAACATATGAGTCCAATAAATAATGGTAGAGAACCTGTCAGAAATCATGTGAATGGTAAAGAAGATACTATAGCAAAACCAAAAGAAAACTTACTTAATTTCAAGTTGTTTTATTCTATTTTCTGCTCTCTTAAGTTTTAGCTCAAGATCATCCTTTGAACGCTCAGCAACAAGACATCTTTGGTGCATTTCTTCCAGTTTTCTGTAATCGTTTTCATTCCCTCTGCCTTCACGGTAAGTCTGCAGAAGAGGCTTATATGTATATTACCATACAGAAGGAAATACTTGGTCTGAACAAAGTATACAGTTTAGAAACTGAAACCAATAATGAGAAATAAAAAAACCATGATCATGTGTTCATCTGCTCCCTCTGTAACATTACAACATATCAGTGATTAATTTTTTTTTTTTTGGTACCGGGGATCGAACTTGGATCCTTGCGCTTGTGCAGCAGGCAGCGAAACCACTGAGCTAAATCCCCGGGCCCTGTGATTAATTTTGGTTATTTCATGTTTACAAAATAAAATGCCAAAAAAATGTATAAAATGATTGAGATATAAAGAAATTTTTTATTTAAAAGGAACTATTCACGCCCATTGTAAATTATTCTAATAATATAGAAATGTAAAGCAGCTCAAAGTAAAAAAAAATCTGAATGTCAAGTTAGAGATAACCACTTAGAGAGTATCCTTTTTTGATGAGCATACTTCAAGACAATTATCTAATTTAAACAGAAAAACATATGCTGCGGGACAGTGAGTAGAATTATTTGAAAAGGACCCTAGAACCTCGCTCTGGGTCACCTGGACAATAACTTAGCTGGAATGGGAGATCCTTCTTTCACTAGCAGCAGCTGTACCTCAGATTAACTTCCCACAAGGTTGCATTTCCTCTCACAGAACAAGGGCTGAGACACTGCCTGGCCAAGTAACCTGTGGCTCCCCTGTTGACAAGCCCAAGTTGTCACTCCCGCTCTATAGAAAGGTAGAAGATAAGCACTTTACTATTCCACTTCGGGGATCCAGAACTACACTGCAGTCCCAGCAACACTATGACCTTGGTATGTTTGTCCATGGGACACTGAGAGAACAGGGAGCTGTGCCTTCTTTCTGTGCGCTGCCTTTCGCTTTAAAGGTTTTACATTTCCCCAGTAAAGCCTATTCCTTAACCTATGCCATGTAACATTAAAAATTCATCCCAAACCCTGATGGGTATAGCAGCTGGCAATCTAAACAGGACCTATTTGAGAGAAACTAACAAGGATCTGCCTTGCAGGGAAGTGGTAGCCAATAAGGTCCTGCTTTGAACACATACATTTTTTTTTCCTGTTAAGTGGAATTGTATACTATGTTCTGCTTTGTAAATTACTGTTTTACTATGCAATGTTGGCATGATTTTTGATGACATGGATATTTCACACGATTTTTAGGTTATGTACCTCATCTTTGAAAATCAAATTCTGATTCTATTTTTTTTTTTTTTACACTGGGAAAGTTACTTAACCTTGCTATGAAAGTTCCTAATACAGCATCTAAAAGACAGTATGGTTCCGCCACCTGCCTCCCAAGCACAAGGACCTGAGTTCAATCCCCAGTACCCCCCCCAAAAAAACAAAAAAACACAGTATGTATGTGCCCAAATTTGATCTTCCTTTCTTTTCCCAAAGTACTTTAAAAGACTGGTATATTTATTGCTAAAAAAAATATGCAGGGCCAGAAAGAAATTATAAAGTACTGTATAGATTTCTCCCAATAGTCTTTTCAAATGTAATTGGGGTAAATATTTTTCCTAATTATTGTACTTTTAAAAGGTAACTATCAGAGCAATGCTATAATTTTCTCTTTATACTGACTGTTTAAATTTACAAATGACCTCTTAACCCTAGTAAGAGTTGGCAACCCTAGTAAGACAGACAAAATTAAATTTATTATTGGGATAAAGTTTAAGCAAGAAATATAGCTACTTCATAAAATTTATATCTTTAAGTACAAAGTTCAAAGAATATGGCCAGATTTAGAAAGAAATGTACAAAGGCAATAGTATTTAAATTCAGACTGACTATATTCCAAGAAAATAAAAATCACTCACCAGGAGAATACTTATAAATATAAGGGTTGCTAGTAGACAGTGTGATGAAAGCAGATAGTAATGTTGAATATTTGTAGTTGGGTTTTAGGTAGTTATATTTCCTTTTTCTTTTTACCTTTTCTAGTTCTTTCTCCACAGCTTTTTTTTCCCTAATGCATCGTTCGATTTGAGTTTGTTTTTCATCACACTCCTGTAATTAAAAGTCAGTATATTTGGTAAAATCTTAAGGAAAATAAGTAAAAATGGAGAAGCAAAATGATTCAAACAGCAATATCAATGTTATTTTAACAAAGTAATCACTAAAAACAAACCAAAACCAAACAAAGCAAGACTCTATCTTCAAAGAGCTATTCCAGGGTTTCAGAAATTGCTTCCATTTATAGGGTCCCAAGGGGCTCTAACTAAACAGACCAGGTAGGACACACAGGTTGGGTGAGTCAGGAAGAAAAAGTAAACAGAGCCACCGTCTCATGTTACAGCTTTGCTTTTTATATACTCATCAATTTTTTAAAAAAAAGGCAGTGTAGAACTGGATAGTGGCAGAATATCCTGAGGGATAACCTATGGCTTACTAAGTGCACAGGTATATAAATTCTAAAAGAGTTTTTGTTTCTGTTGTTTGATACTATTTATTGTTAATTTATCATCCATATGCTAATTGTTTTATATATCTTAATGTCTCTTCATACAATTTTTAATAGGAAATTACAAGTATAAAGAATTTCTCACTATCCAATGATTTCAACATTTCAAAATCTATAAAAGGAATCTCCTCTAAATATTCCTGGCACTATAAATTTGACATTCCTAACACTCACTTGTCTTCTTTGTAAAAATGACTCAAATATCCAGATTTCTTAATTTCTGATAGCACCACTGTTTTGCTCAAAACAAAAAGATATATATATATTTTTTTCTTTTGGTACCGGTGATCGAACTCAGGACCTTGCGCTTGCGAGGCAGGCGCCGGAACCACTGAACTACATCCCCAGCCCTTGTCTTTTGATTATATTTCTCATTCTATGTTTGTAACTCCTCCTAATAGAGCTTGTAATATATAGTATATATTGATAACACAGTTGGATCACACTTGTGGGTCTGACAAATGGCATGGAAAGAAAGGTATGTCATAAGTATGCTACACTGAATCTACCATTTTACATGGACAAATGATGATGGTTGAAAGAATGGTTTACATGGGGGAGCAAAGATGAAACAAGAAAAGATGAAATCTTTAGAGAATTATCATCATACTAATTCTACTAAAAATGCAGTATAATAATGAAGCAAACATTAAAAATTATTATGAAGCTTTTTAGAGATATAGATATTTGCTAATCAACATTCATATACCTAGCTGTGGGAGAAATATGACAAAATGTGATAATAGAATTTTTTTTAGGTCTCAAGAAATACTAAGAGCCAATGGCTTATAGACCATGATCTGTGGTTCTTATATAATTGAAGCAGAAATCAACAATAAAAAGACAGTCTAAATCTCTGTGTAGTACTTAGAAATGAAAAAATAGACTTTCAAAAGATTCATAGATCTAAGAAAAGATCCTGGCACAAGTTTTATTTTACTTCTCTGTATTTGGACATTTCATAATTAATATTCTTCCCCATTTGCTGTAGATTAATAGTAATCTGCTACATGGCAGGAAAAACCTTGAGATTCTTAAGAGAAACTACATCTTGGAGGAAAAATTAAAAACTATTAGGTGTTTTAGCTAAAACTTGGAAACAGCCCAATTGTCCATCAACTGGAGACTGGATAAAGATGTGGTTTTTTCATAAAATGGAGTACTACTCAGCCATAAAGAATGAGAAACTGGAGACATTTGTAGCTAAGTGGATGCACATTGAGGCTATACTCTTAAGTGAAATAAATAGAACACACATGTGTAAATACCGAATAGTTTCTCTGGTGTGAAAAATTAAAAGTGTAAATAAGAATCAAAATGTGTAACTGATATCGTGAAATAGGAAGAAAATGTCTAAAGGAGTAGGGGAAGTGGGAGGGGTAGGGGAAAGGAATGAAGGGAAAAGAAAAAATATGAGAAAAGGAAAAACATGGAAACAAAGTCTTTGTAAATAGGGAAGGATGGAGGGGTTGAAGGGAGGGCAGGGGAATGGGGAAAAAATAAGAACCAAAATACATCATGTACAGGTACAAGATCCCAATGATGAATGTAACTGTATTTTATACCTAAAATGTACCAATAAACTAAATGGAAAGGAAACCAAAACAAAAAAACCTGTTAGGTGTGTGTTGGTCTCCAAAGAAAGACAGATAATTTGGAATACACTGCCTCTGGCCTTATCTTAATCTATTAAAAATTCTGCACACTAACCTAAAATACGAGATTTTCTTCCCCCTTTCTGCAAGCATAGCTTAATTTTGGATTAGCCAAAGTATGTTTAACTTCCTCTTAGACTTAGATGTCACGATTGCTATTTAATGATAGAAAACAACAGATATCATTATTAAGCTTGTATAGGTCAGATTTTCTGAGAAAACTTGCTTTTCAAAGTAAACAAAAGAAAATGTCTCCCTTCAAATGTTTTAATATATTGAACATTTATCATTAGATAGTACAATTTTCCCCAAAGAATCAATATTTCATCAGATGTTTCATATCTTTAGAAAAATCACTTAGCTATGAAATAAAATTGTTTTTACTATGAATTATAAGATACACTTTTAAAAATAAACTGAAATTGTCAAAATGACTATAAGTTGAGTGTAATACAGCTTTGGTTGTTACACACCTAACAACAATTTTTTTTTTAAATTAAATTAAATTTTTTTTTTGGTACCGGGGATCGAACTCTGGTCCTTGCGCTTGCAAGGCAGTCACCAGAACCACTGAGCTAAATCCCGGGCCCCACAACAATTATTTTTTAAAAAGTCCTAGCAGGGTATAGCCAGTTCTCCTTCCTTTGGGAAAGGAGAACAAATGTTCACACCCTTGCAGAGTTTACAGCCCGTTAAATGATCTTAGTCTGGGGTAAAGACACTATTATTTCTATTGTTTCACAAAGATGTGAGTCTTTTGATAATTATTTCATGAAAGAGAACAGATAAAATAACAGGGTGATAGAAAAAGAAGCAAAACTGCATAACAACAAAGAATTAAACATGACTAATTAGCCATACTGCATCCCATTAATTTTACACAATTCCTACATCATTAAAACAAATGACATTAAACAAACAAATAAAAACTAACACTGTTCTCAGTTCTATTATATTCAGGACCAATACACAATGATTAAGTCTTATAATGTACACTACAGGGTTTATAAAATGTGGAAAAGATGTGATCCCTTTTTCAGAAGTATGTAAATATCATTTAGTAGATAAATATTTATTTAAAAATGTACTATGCAAAACACTGTATTAGGCACTGGGGAAACTGAAGGAAGAGATAAGATTCCTCTATTGTGTAATCTAATTGAAGAGATAAGATTTTCATGGAGTGAAAAAGCAAATGTACATGAGTGGTTGTGCACTCAACAAATACTATCACATAATATATATTATGTGATAAAATTTATTGCTGAATTTTGTCACTGATATGAGAAACGACACAAGGATTCAGAACCGATGAGTTCTTGAAGTTGTAAATATCTTTCCAGTTCTTAGAAATTCTTGTATTTCTATTATCATGTAAGTAAAGTTATCAAATTTCATTTCATTAGATCTTCAAGATAAATTTACGTTCCTAATACAATCTCTAGTCACACAAGTACTCACGTCCTCTACCATTTTGCCTACTTATCCTTCAGTATGAATTGTTTTGGGGAAATTTTCATGTCTTTCTTCCTGCTTACTGTCATACATTAACCCCCTCCATCTGAATCCACAAGGTGGCTCCCCCCCCCGTCTAAACCCAGAGTGTGGTAGGAGCTACAGCTGGGTGTCTTAATGGCATTCTACGCGTTCTCTGTTAAAGAGAAGTAATTACATAAAATGTCATGGATGCTATCTTTCCTGGTAGAACATATAGCACTAGACTGTAAAAAAACATGTCTATCTGTGTTTTCATGCTTTTCCTAGCACCTAGCATAGGTCCTAACTTAATAAGTATATTTTGAATAAACAAATGCCCAATAGCATATATCTCGTCCTTTAAAATAAGCAATATGTAAAATATTCATATAGTCTCTTCTTTTTCTTTCTTTTTTGTGGTGCTTGTGATTGAACCCAGAGCCTTGTGCATACTAGGTAGGTACTTTACCACTAAGCTACATCCCCAGGCTTCAACATAGGCTTCTAACATACCATTTGAAGAGCTGAAAGTTCTTCTGTTAGTTGAAAAATCTGTACTTGATGTTGCTTTTTGGTGTTTTCAATCTGTAAAAGAAGACAATAGAAATTATTTAGGCAATGCATAATGACTAATAACTGATAAAAATTTAGTGTAAGTTTATAAAACATTAAAACTTAGAATAATAATCACATAATAATTTTATATAATAGTTTAAATAAAGTTGTAACTTTTAGGTCATAAAAGATAAATAAGCACACAAGGTGTCCAATAACCAAGAATTTGTCATGAGATTAGAAAGAGAGAGAAAAGGATGATACTTCTAATATAATGTGTTTTTCTACCAATATTTTATCATTATTAGAAATAAAATTTTAATTATTCCTTTAAAACAATAATTAAAATAATTAGCTGTTAGTATAAAACACATTTTATGAAAATAAGTGTATTCTCCAAAACTAAAGATTTTTGGCATTATTTTATATTTTTGTAAATCTCCTTAATGTCTGGCTGAAAAGAAAGCTAGATTCTCATATCTGCTTCTGTATTCAACTTGTTGTGTTTCTGTATATTTCGCAATTTTTAGTTCCAATGTTTTTTTTTTTTTTCCTGTGCCGGGAATTGAACTCAGGACCTCGTGCTTGCCAGGCAGCACAGCACCACTGAGCTCAATCCCCAGCCCAATTATGCAACTTTTGGAAAACAACACTGCACACTCACGAGAGAGTGAGAGTGAAAAAAAGCAAAGTATTACATAATTAGGAAAGTAGGTGTGATCTTGAAGAATCCCTGAACAACTCTTTGAAAACTGTTGCCACAGAGCCAAGCAGGAGAAAAGCGGAGGAAGGGAGGATATAGCTCAGTGTTAGAGCACTTGCCTAGCATGAGCAAGGACCTGGGTTCCATCCCTCATGCTGGAGGGGGACAGGAAAGCAAATTCACACATGGAAAATGTAAGTAATAACTTTAAAGGCACCTTTATTTTACAAATACAAAGTCACTGTTGCAATGAACATCACATCCTAGGATTAAGTAAATTACATTTTAGGTCATCTTTATGTGAATTAACATTTAACTATTTTCAGAACCAGTACAATTTGTGTGCAGAATATTTTGAAGAATGGTCACATCACAGGATGGCTCCTAAGACAGTAATTTTTCCCCAATTGCTGGTCATGTTTTTAAAAAGGATTATAAAGAGTACTGATGCTAATGGTACATCATCAGTAAACTTCTATAATCTAAAAAATCTTAGAAATTATAGTATCTTTTAAAATTATAAAATAAATTATTTAAAAACATAAATTTTCTGTGGAACATTTACGACACTATACATAGTTTATTTGGTTAATTAATATGAGTTATCTTTTTGAAGGCCTATCAAACATTATATATAGTTCTATTTCAGCCCTATTTAAGGTTATATAATTTGATGTTGAATTTTCCTACAAGTTAAAGATTAAGATATTAAGGATCAATCTCTTCTGTCAGTGATAACACAGCTTAGTATATATTGAGCATTATGTGTTAAGTACTGTTCAGAATGCCTTATGTTATGTTATTACGTCACTCACTCTTACAAAGAGCCCATGAGGTAGTTATCATCTCCACTACAGAGGAGCAAGCCTGAGTGTTATACTTTGGATCTAGAATGTCCTCTACAACCCTATATGTGAAAGGCTTGTTTCCCAGCAAGGTATTATTAGGAGGTGGTAGAATCTTTAAGAAGTGGGGTCTAGTGGGAGATCTTCAGGTTATTGGCTGCAGGGCCTTGAAGGGGAGAGTGGAATCCCAGCCACTTCCTCTTCCTCTCTTTCACTTCCTAGCCATGAGCTAAGTGGTCCTACCCCAACATATGCTTCTGCCCTGATGTGCTGCCTCACTGTAGGCCTAAAAGCAATGGGGCCACCCAATCATGTACTGAAAACTGAAACCATATCCAGAATAAACTTTCTCTCTTTATAAACTGATTATCTCAGGCATTTGTTATAGCAATTTGTTACAGCAATGGAATACTGAGGTAAGAGAATTTAAAACATAAATATTCCCGTAATATAAAAGTTTTGATTTTTATAAACATAGTCATGCCTGTCACAAAATTTGTAAAATGTGTTCATTTCAGTGTTTAAAACTGATAGAGCTAAGTTGAGGGTTTATGACAACAGTAAAACGCATATTTTGAAATATTTTATATTAATGATGGCAAATTCAGCTGAATTAAACTATTGATACTTTTTGAAAGGTGAACTCTTGAAGCTGATAGTATATCATCTGTGAACCATACTCCGTAGGAAATTTTCTAGAGTTAGTATCTGATGAAAAAATATAAACCCTTGTTACATGGAACAAATACATACGACTATGAGGTGGTTCGTTGTGGTTGAGGTTCTCAAGTCTATCCACAGACTAATATTCCTCTCTCATCCGAACCTCATTTTATTCATGTAAACATTTCCTTCTATAATTTTTATCGGTAAGGATGTTTACCAACTAAACTGTAAGGTACACTAACAAGAAAGAGAAATAGGAAAGGCCAACGAGGGTGCTAGTCATGACTCAAACTCAAAAGTAAACAATGTTTTATTTTTTTCAAAAATTGTATTTATTTGAGAACTGAGATAAAAGTATTTTTGTACTAAAAACAGAAGCATTGTTGTATTTTATAGCCAGAAAAGAAATAGGTGAAAAATTTTTCATAGTGTATAAATAATACATATATATATATTTTGTTGCTTTATAAAATAATAATTACTCTTTGAAATTTCACACACTGCAGAAATATAAAATATAAAGGTTTCTCATTATTCTAGTTAGTTATTAACCAGAATATTATAACATGATTCATGTTAATGATTTAATGTAGTCATAAATATGTACACAACTATTTTAATTTAAAAGTATTTAGATATTATTTAGTCTTTAGTTGAAACTTAAAATTTGAATTTTAAAATACTTAAAAACCCCTTACTTCTTTCCTGGTTCTAATGGCAGAATCTTGTATGAGCTGAGAAAATACTTGTTTCATTTTCTCTTTATCTTCTTCTCTTTGCTTCTTCTCAAGCAGAGCCTTCAGAAAATAATCATTTCATGTTATAGATCACATCATTATTAGTAAAGATAACACATCAAAAAAGCTAGCCACTTTTTTAAGAGTTATCACCCCAAATTTCTGGGATCTCTCTACCTGAACTTGCCTCTGTCATGAAAGATACTTACTTTTCTTAACCACACCTACCGCTGTCCTGATTCCTTTCCCCTCGTTCTGGAGCTTGAACCCAGGGCCTCCGGCATATTAGGCAAGCACTCCACCCCTGAGCTACACCCTTGGCCCAGAATTTTGAAGTCAGTGTTGCTCAGCCAGGCTCAAACGCATGCCCCTCTTGCCTCAGCCCCCGGAATAGCTAGGATTATAGATGAGCACCAATGCAGAGTGCCCAGATAAAAATTTTTTTTCTTTTGCATTTATTTCAGCCAGCATTGCCATCAATCTAATCACTACAGATTTTAGAACTATTTTAGTATTTTTATTATATTTTAATATATTATATTTTAATTTTTAACTACTTTTTCTTCTCTTTCAAGCCCCTATACAAAGTAAGTCATCATGTCTAGGTCTGATATTCTTGGAAAAGTCTCTTGTGTTTCATTTTTATAAATACACTATTTGATACCATTCAAATTATGTTCCTCTTTACTTCACACCTTGATCATTGAAGATAGCATGGATTTTGTCTCTTTGATGTGTTTTTAACAATTGACTACTCAAGACATAGTTCTTGGTTTTCTTCTCTACCTATCTATATCCATCTCTGGGTGATTTAACCAAATATTCTGATTTTTAAATATCACTTCAATGCTGACAATTTCCAAATTTACATCTCTAATAAAAACATTTCAGTTAGGAACTCCTGTAATTAGGCCAGACTGAATCTTTTTTTTCTGTACACAGTACGGGGCCCTGTGTGTTGACCTGAGCATCTCCCAACCACCAATCACATTCTCATCTCTGGGTTTTAAAATTATTTTGAGGAATATCATGGTGGTGCAGAGGAAGCAGCACTCAGAGAGCTCTGAGATACTTACCAAGGTCAGTGTGCAACTACATGAGATGGGAGAGGCACCAAGTACTGAAATACAACTTGAATAGGATAGTAAAGAGTTGAAATGCAGAAAAAAGGAAAAGCAAGGGTAAGAAGTGAAGCCCCTTCTCAACCTGGGTGCTGCTCCCAGCACAGGTCAAGGTGCAGGGCCAGTGTCATTCTGTAAATTGCACCAAACTTTTAGGGGAAGAATCTGGGGATGGGTGGGGCAGTGGCTGTAGCTGGGCACTCAACTCACATGCCACTACCTGCAGAGCTGGCCCAGCCATGTAGTTCTCCCTCTGGGACATGATGCAGAGTATGTGATAATAACAGGAAAGTGCTTCCCCATCCTTGGGCTCTGTTCTCAGGGCAAGTCTAGAGACCAAGCCATTCTGAGGACTGAGTTAGCGCTGTAAGAGATGAAAGACAGACTGGACAGTCTTGGCTTGGGTTTCTTCTTGGATAGAAGAAACAAATGCCACAGAAAAACTCAGAGATCTGGGGCCACTGGGGCACACAGGCACAGGAGGTGAAGAGAAACAGCCTTGCTGAAAAAAGCTCATTCCCAACCCTGAATGCCACTGAAATCACAGGGTCTAAGCAAGCTAAGGAATTTCCAGGACAAGGTGGAACATCCTACAAGGTTGTGGCTGGCTGAGAACCCTGGGCTGAGACTCACTGGAGGGGGCAGAGTAAATAAAGGTCTGGCCACTGACCCTGAGAATGCTAGATGACTCCAAACACGGTGTGCTGAAGATGGTGGCAGCAAAAAAACTGTGCAGGGATACTCATCATAATCAATAAAACAGGACAGTTGCCACCCTCCCTCCTTTCCTTTTATATTTTGCCTTGTTACCTCTTTATGAGTGATTTGTTTTGTATAACAAAAGGCCAGTCTTTTTATACATGTATGTATGGGTCCATCTGTGAATTACTGGTTTTCTGTTTTAACTCCACAGCATCCTACCTTGTTTTGTAATATATTCCCATACCAAAAGTTGCTCATTAGGAATATCTAAGTTTGTTTGTTTGATCAACAGCTGGATACAGGCCCCTTTTCTTTTCTCTCACCTCTCATTTATATTCCCCTCCTTATTTTCATTACTTCTTCCTATATACCTGCTTCAGTCTTTCCACTCTCCCTTTCTCTTACCACCCCCTCTTTGGTATTATTATTTTTTATTCTCTATTTTCCCCCTGCTATCTGTTCCTCTTATTTACCTATTTACTATTTAAAACACTTTTTTTTTTTCGCTGGACCAAGGATTGAACATAGGACCTTGCACATGCCTGGCAGGCGTGGTACCACTGAGCTACATCCCTGGCCTTAAAACAATTCGAATATCATCAATGCCGAATTTGGTTTAGGCAAGTATGCTATATTACTTGGTGGGTCTTGTACTAGATTAGTGTAATACTACAGATCTTTCTCATCAAGTTCTTAGGTATGAAATAGTCTATGGTATCAACTGTTGATATTATTGGGACTATTCTGTCTTCTCAAAGCACCACTAGGGGATAAGGCTAGCATTCAGTGCAGACTGAGTAGAAACTCTCACATAGATAGACAGCCACACAAACTATATTTAAAGAGAAAGCCTCTTACAAAAAAGAACCTCATACAACCGTGAAAGAGACATTTTATCCAACTGTCCTACAAACTTCAGTATATAAGCTCAAATAAAATTAGAAAACAAAATGCCTCCAAAAATACAGAACTCTCCAAATTTGGTCCCATAAATACTGAAGTGAATGAAATTTCAAGGAATTAAAAAACTGACAGTTAAAATGATTGATGAGATCAAAGAAGAGATGAATAAGCAGCTGAAAGAATCAATTACTAGAATGATCAATGAGATCCATGAAGATACAAATAAACAGGTGACTGAATTAAAGAAGAAAGGATATAAAAGACCACTTCAGAAAAGAGAAGTTCTGCAAAAAAACCAAGCAGAAATCCAGGAAATGGGCAAGACATGCATGCACCTGCCTGTTCCCGGATCCCTTGAGATGTGTCATGTCCCTGCGACTGGGAGGGCATCCCTCAGATCCAGATCCCTGCAGCAGAGGCACCTGGGGTCACAGAGCCACTGCTATGAGCTTGAGAAGATGGCACAGTGGTGAACATCAGAGAGAGGGTCTCTCCAAGGCTTGTTGTTGAAAACTGAAGCCCACTGGGAGAGCGAAGACAAGAGTGGAGTGCAGCAGTTGGTGAGTTGCTGGGACCAGCACCTCCTAATGAACCTGGACCTGTAATGGGGGAAGGGCGGCTCAAACCTGCAGTAGAATCTTGCAGAGTTCTAACCTGCAGGAGGTCAGCAAGCTCAATTCCAGCTCAGAAACCAGCCTGAATCTCACTGGACTATGGTAGGTTTGCTGAGATTGATCGACTCAGCTCTGCACGCTGTTGCCCACATTGTATGCCAGCAACAGCAGAGTCACACCTTGAAGGGAAGCTTTTTTTTTCCTTTCTTATTTTCCTTTTTATTCTTTCTTCTCTTGTCTTCTTCTTCATTTCTCCACTCTCTTGTTCCTGTTTGTTTCTTAATTGTTCTTACTGTTAAAAGGGTGTGAATACAGTTTCTAGTTTTCCAGTTGCTATTAGTTTGTTCTGTTCTTGTTTCTGTGCTTCCCTTCTCTCTTTTCCTCTCATCGTCACCAGTTTCCCAAAGTTTGTCAGATCCTCCTGTGTCCTCTAGCCCTACTTCTAACCTCTCCTTCCATCTCTCTATCCTCCTCAACTCCTTCTAAGTCTTCTTACGGGAGGGTAAAGCTGATACAGTGAAGGGCTTGCTAACTGTAAACATATTTCTAGTTGGTCCTCGATTTTGATACATAACCACAAGTCTAGTTTATACAGGTAAAGGTGTCAGAATAATAATCCCCAAATTTGTCATTTTCTAAGCTGTGTTTGATGCTATTGTTGCTGATTGTATTACTTTGGCCAAGGTGATGTGATTGTTCTAGTCAACTGTCTTTACTGGTATACCAAGACTGAGCTCATTTAAAGGCCATTCAGAGTCAAAACCCAAAGGCCTACTATACCAGGAAGACAATCCAAGAAGTAGCCATTCTCTAAGGGCTCTAAATACTAGCAATAAAGACACATACAATAAGCAATTTACAAGCAACAAATTGAACCAAAAACTTCAACAATAATAAAAAAATAGAAATTAGAAGACACCTAAACAAGATGCAGATCTAGACTTCTAGATCACTAAAGGGAAATCCAGGGGGTAAGATGGAACAACCCAAAACTCAACCACCTGGACTCCCTGAACTGGCAACGTAAGAGGAGGTAGAAAAAATGAAATCAGAAATAATTTCTCA